AATTCAGCATGCAACACCAGCTACATCTTAGCTGTCCCTCAGTCAGAAAGAGCTTTGCCTCTCTTCTAAAATTCATGCCTTTAGGGATACGCATGCCATGTGTGACATGCCCGAATGTGTCGAGAGGTGTTTTTTTTCTTCTTTGGAAAACAACCAATGAAAAAGCTGAACTGTGTGCAAGAAACAATGATTCACCTTCATCCTAAAACGCAAGCTATGTACCCTAAAGAGCAAGAAACCTGAAGCTTTCCCAGACTGCGGACGAGTCTCTAAATCATGAATAGTATCAAATACTTGTTGCTGGTGTCTCTGTGTGGCTCAGACATCCCTAGAGCAGGTAAGATGCCTTTCTTTCATCACGTTCAAATAGCTGCGCAGCCCTGATGGCTGTCAGTCACACTTGGGTTGGGATGTTACATGTACACCAGCAATTCTGTTGGCTCCGGAGCGGAAATCACTTTTGTGGGGGGCTTGCCTTGGCTTGTCTGCTCTGGAATGTTACGGATAAAAAGGAATTATTCCAACACACCATCAGTTTATGGGAAAGTGTTATTTTTTCTCCCTCCTGGCTCTCCGGGGAGGTATACAGGATTTATTTACACTAGTTTGTGAATCTAAGGTATGCTGACTTCATTTTGAAGTGCTTGTTTTTTTGGAACCTGCTGTAGTTCTGTCTTTGAAAGGTGGCCTGTTTCTCCTTCCTGTCCTTGGAATGCTGGGGATGGAATGGTTCAGGGTGTGCAGGCATCAGATGGGATCTAAGGGCACAAACAAGTAGTGATGGGTAGAATCTGGGATAGCATGCAGGACTGCTCTTGCTAGGGCCATCTTCAAATGAATAAATGACTGAGAAATGGCTGATAATAAATACCAGCCAATAAATGTCAGGAGACGCTACATCACAAGCACAATATGTAGAGTTCGACATGCCATCTGGAGGTTCTTGTTCAAACCTGGGAGAGTGAGAGGAGCAATTTGATTAGCTAGATTGGGGCAAGGTGCCTTTCCTAACCCTTTGCCCCCTCCACTCACAGCTGCACGTTAGAGAAACAGAACAGATGTTCCTTCCTGTGACTGATACATCGGAGTCATTACGTCACAATGCTGTGTTCATTGTATTCATACCAATTACTGATGGCTATGGTAAGCCTGCCCTCAAATTGCCAGTTGAACATGAAGCTAACTGCACAGTTCAGAGTCTTCAGGTCAGGACAGGGTCTCTTGAGGCCTCACGCTTTCTGGATTGGTTTCAGGAAGGCTGCAAAATTAGCTGTCTTCCCCTTATTCTGTTATGCTACACCCAGTCAGTTGCCTACTCTGTGTTCTCCGTGCATCTGAACAAAAATATCATGGTGGTATCATTTCTGAAACTTTCAGGAGCCTTAAAGGATATTAGCCCATTCATTAGGCGATATGAAGGGCTGTCATACGACAGAAGGGCTGTGCAAAGGAGCCATGAGAGAGCTAAAAGAGAGACACAAGAGCACAAGCGTGTCATCCAGCTAGACTTCACAGCTTTCCAGAGGTAAAGTGCATTAACTGAGTCTTCCTGAACCTCTCTGTCTGCTGGCCTGTGCTGAATGGGTCTAATGATATCAGAGCTGACCATCTATGGAGTTTGATTGAACCAAACAATTTGGACAATGCATTGGCGAGCTTATGTCAGTCCACCGGCTGCTCTGAAATAAGAGATCCATAGTGTTAGATTTTATCATTCACTTTGGATCTGCAGCACTTCAGTCTTGTACTTGATTGTAGCTTTTTTTAGCAGAGGTCCCAGAAACCCTAATACCTATCTACAGTTCTGTGGACAAATGCTAACTGTTTGCTTTTTTGTTTCTGGCTCTAGGGCTTTTCACTTACGGCTGAGGAGAGACACTACAGGGTTCACAGAAGATTTTAGGATTCAATTAAAAAATGCATCCCAGTCTGCTGACCTCTCTCATATTTACTCAGGAGGACTGGAAGGTACCAATCACAGTCTAGGAAAGCAGCACTTAAGATCTTGTGCTTTTGCTATGCACATACTGTATTAGTAGGTGCTTCAGCATCCCGTAGAAACTGTAAGTGTGACTTGGGTTCTTATGGTTCTGTTGACCTGTCTGTGATCAACAGGGGGCACTACAGTGATATATACCTATATACCTGATGCCATGATCAGACCATATTAAACCTTTGCCTGAAGTACGTACAATCCTCTACCCAATCCAGACAGTGTCTGTAACCCTACAAACATGTTAACCATCTTTATTGTTGCCTTACTCACAGATGAAAGGGGTTCATCCTGTCATGGCTCTATCCTTGCTGGACAATTTGAAGGATTCATTCAGACTCAGAATGCTACCTATTATGTAGAGCCAATCGAGAGATACAGCACAAGCCACTCGGAGCACCACTCCATTATATACCGAGAAGATGACATGGGTAAGTGTAAGAGCTCTATCTTGCCACACACAGCATGCCAGGCACTGGGATCTTTGTGGAATAATACACTCATCACCCTGTATCTGGAAGGTTAAATCAGGCAATCTATACTGTACATTCACAGCAGCAGAAATACAAACCTTGAATCATGCATGACTGGTATTTCATTTGGGGACAGTGAGCTATGCACTGCATTGAGTCACTGCTGCATGTACATTTGTGACAGGTTGGTGTCATTTATCTTTTCTTTGTTACATTTTGGTAATGTGGCCCTGCTGCACGTTAGTTTGTTGTCACCCAGCTTCTCAAGAGGGCTTGAGAGCTCCTGTTTCAGGGCATCAGGCATGTGTAGAGAGGCTGGCATTGTGAGCAGCTGGCGGTGGTCAGGGAGATCAGCTGCTGGCAGAGACGATACAGGAGAAGTGGGGCAGCGTGGGAGCAAGGAATGAAAGACGAAAAGGCACAGTGCACCCCTCGAAATGTTGGAAAATGCAAGCTGGGATGCGATGGAAACCCACATGGGTTGGAGAATTCGTGTATGCCATGAGAAGGCGCACCAACGTCTTTTCCTGATGCTGACGGAGTTCAAGTCGCTTGTGTTTGCTGGGTCACAGCCACAGCGCGATGATTCAAGGAAGAGTAACCCGAGTAACTAACTGGCACAGAGCGAGCGCCAAGAGACTCATTGTTCCCCGACAAAAGACAGGATGGCGCTTGTTTAGACTGTGCCTGGATCACTCTGTCACTGCGAGCCGGAGAGCTCTGCAGACATTGCTCAGCAATCTGGTCTCTCAGCTCTGCAGACTATCTGCCAGGTGTCTCTTTCTAAAGAAAACAGACTGGGGCAGTACAGGGTCATTCCAGGAAAGAACAGTTGGAAATGTTGTCTGCTCAGCACCAATTCTGGAGGGAGTATTCGCATTTCACATTCTTCAGGAAAAACGATCCTAATTAATAAGAGTGTACATGTTTAACTGCAAGCAGAACTTCACATATTTTCTGATTTTACTGACTGCCCGCTGGTAAGGCTCTTAATGACTGTCTTTCAACAGCAGTCTTTGCTTAGTCTGTGTTTCCCTTGTTTTCTTCCATCTGAAGCATGCGGTCGTTCTTTGGTTGAACACTAGCTTTGCACAAGGCCTTCTTGTTCAAAGATGACTCCGAGGGGTCTACAGAATGAGGAAGTGAACAGCTGTGCAGATGCCATCCGGCAGCTGTCGGGGACATGACTTTGGGTTTCCTCCGGATTAGGGTGAATCCCAGGTGGGAACAAGAGAGCGCTGTAGCTGCTGACATGTGAGCTGCTTTCCAGGGCCTGTCTCAAACACATGGCAAACACCCTCTGTTTGTAAGTGTAACAGTTTAGCCCAGATGTCATTTTTCATACAAGCTACATCTATTATAGACAAGGACCCTACAGTAAATATTAACATAAGAGGCGTTAGGATCCAGGCATTAGGACCCACGTACACTGCAGGATAAGCGCCCCCTGGTGGCCCCACTAACACCTCTTCCAGCAGCAACCTTAGGTTTTCCCAGGAGGTCTCCCACCCAGGTGCTGGCCAGGCTCACACCTGCTGAGCTTCACCCTGCTGAGGAGACTCATTCTGCCAGGCATTCCAGGCTATTCTGACCATGCCCACTGCAACTGACCCAGTAACGGTACTCTCCAGTGTCCAGACTCAGAGTGACCAGAACTGCGCAGGAGAAGTGTGAGGAAGACTCAGAGTATATGAGTATGAGTATAAGCATTTCATTGCACTAATGCACATGACAAATAAACTGAGACAGCTTCAGGGCCTCCAGAACTGTGCAGGCGAAGTGTGAGGAAGGCTCAGGATGGTCCTGACACGTCTCAGAGTGCTGGCCTATTCAAACTCTGCCTGAAAAGTGTTCAGTGGGCGGAAGTGTGCTTTCAAGTGCTAATCTAAACAATACCAGGAGAAGCCTGACTGTGTCTATTTGCTCTTTGAGTGCGATTACAGCTTGTCATGTGATACTTTTGTTTGAAATCACACCATGGACGGCAGCAGTGTGCTTAGTGCTAGAGGTAACTGTCGGACATTTCCCATGAACCTCACTGCCCCCGTGCGCGTCTTTAAGCATGATTCCCATTAAACACATCAAAGAGCCTCACATGCTCAGGATGATTTTTATACATACGGATTCTCTTATTTCAGAATCTGAAGGCATGAACTTGATAAGCTAAACTGAACAGGAATGGGAGAGGACTTCACAAATAGGAGGCAAATCAGTTTTGTTCTCGGTAGATATGAGAGTTTGTAACGATCTGCTGCGTTTCAATTCGATTTGCTATCGTATACTTCAAACTTTCAGTTGTTTTCAGCTGCATTTGGTCACTTGAAGTCAGCTGGGCACAGAGGATGAAACGTTTAGGGTTTTTCAGTGACAGTAAATCACTTCCCACAATGAGGAAAAAGAACACAGTTTTCTAGAAATGCAACAGTTAATTTGTAAGGTTACAGACAGTCATTCATAATAAACGGAAGCCTCAGACAAATTTAGTGTGTGGGCTCCTAGTTTTCAAGTGAAGATAGCAACAGGTTGCAATTCCTTTAGCATGCTGCTACTTTTAGAGCGAGCTTCTGTGCCTGAATCATTACATCAGCACTTTCAGGATCTCCACAGATGCTTTTCTAGGATTGAATTTTAACTCTAAATATAATTTCTGTGACGATAGCCTTTACTGTATGGGTAATGTGGAAATGCCCAGCTGACTACCCTGCAATAGGCTGCAGCTGGGAATCTGCAGGGACTCCAACAGAGGCCGAACTGTACAATTCCCAACGGAATAAGCCGAGCAAATCATTCGTGTTCGTCAGCAGCCTTGAGCACAGCAGCCTGGAAAGACCAGGCTGACTGTGCTTGTTATTCCTGAAGAGGATGTGCCCATTTGTAAAGGCGTTTGTGCATCAGAGACTTCTAACCCAAGAGTTAAAAAATTGGAATTGAGCAGTGCGATGCAAATGAGACATAAGAAGCAAAATTGCGCAGCTCTTCAATTAGAGTGCGGAAAATAATAATGTAATAATAAACTTTATTTTAAATAGCGCCTCTAAAGGTGGCTTCTCAAAGCGCTTTACAGAATGAACAGCAACAGCAACAATTAAAAATAAACAAAAAATACACAATAAACAATAAAAAATACACAAGATAAACAGGATGGGAATACGCAGAGGAGACAGTAGATGGTGGTTCTAAATACAGTAGGAGCAGGGGGGTGAAGAATGGAACCAGTTCAGTAAAGGCTCTTCTAAAGAAGATGGTTTTGAGTCTGAATTTGAAGGAGTTTAGAGAATGTTTAGAATTCAGAGAGTTTAGAAAATGAGTTAGTAACAGTGCGAACCATTACTATTATTATT